TATATACATTAATTTAATATTACTACACACACACACACACACATATATATATATATATATTATATAATATATCGTATGTGTGTGTGTGCGTGTGTTTATGTGTTTATATATATATACATATATATATATATACATATCGAGTATATAAACACATAAACACACCAAAGCACTCACACACATATGCACACGAACGTGTGTGTGATTGTTTGAGTGTATGTGCTTTGTACTTGCTCGGAGTTATGTAAAACGTATACGTGTACTTAAATATATAACGATAAAACTGTCTACTTCGTTATTCTATTTCAAGATCTGTGTATTACATATGGCGATACCAAACAAAGAACCACTTATACGTGCACGTTTGGCTTGGCCTATAATTACCACCACAGTTGCACATACCATCCAATGAGAGGGGTTTGTAGACGGTAATAGGGTCTGCTATCCAAGAGCACAGCAACAATTTACAAGTTAAATGCATACACCATCCTATGAGCATACCCACACCACAGACGTACCAGTAATGGTGGTGGCATAGTAATACCACACACACACATGTATGTGCACACACATACGATAAACATGCACGTACATGGACGTGTACGTGTGCACAGTTCGGTATTTGTATATACACCTACTATATACCTACACGTATGTGAACACTAAGCTTTGCACACACACACACCACACACTCACCCTGTGGTGGCGGTTGCTAAGAGAGTGTCGTAGTCGGCTGTGAGGTCGTCATTGGACGTGTTATTTATATACACACACCAGGTTACACACCTTATACATATATTTTATATCAGTGCACTATATGAGTACATTACGAATATAAGTATACACTATCCTACTATCCTAAACATACACGCATACCACACGCGCACCTGTGATGGCGATGGCTGAGAGCGTGTCGAAGTCCGTTGCGAGGTGTTCTTTGTAATTGTTACCCACACACACATACACATGTTTACACACATATACATCTATATCACATACGCATTACATATTATACATCATATTATATAAGTATGTCATATAACATATTATATAAGTATATCATACTACATATTATATATCATACTACATAAGTACATAAAGCAGATATACATACACTATCCTACTATCCCCAGCACCCACGCATACCACACACGCACCTGTAATGGTGGTTGCTGAGAGGGCGTCGGCGTTTTCCTTGGGCATAATGTTGTCATACGAGAACGTGTTGAGCGCAGACACCCGCCTGGCCCGTGCCGAGTGGGGGGGGTTGTGGGTGTACGAGTGAGTGTGTGAGTGTGTGGGTGCGTATGTGTGTGCGGCTGTGTGTAGGTCCAGGCCCTGTTCACTGATGAAGCTGTTGTTGTTGGTAGTGGTAGCGGAGTGGATGCCGGAACAAGAGCTGGTATGCGTCAGTGAAGTGTCGTTGCCTGTGAATGGGAGAGGCAGTGCACGTTTCAATAGGCGCACCTGTGCAGTGACTGTGGGGTCGTATACGTTGAATGCGTTTAACGGCAGTTGGGACGGTTGTGTCCTGTTGTTGTGTATTGGTATGTACGAGAAAGGGATGGTTTCTGCCTGTTGTTGTGTATTGGTATGTACGAGAAAGAGATGGTTTCTGTGCGAATCAGAAAGAAACATGCACGTGCTATGTGTGCATTGCGCAGACGGTCATATCGATGAGTGCTCGTGACTTGGTAGGTTGCACACACCCACCCTCCCACCCATTGCTTACACACGCATGTCTGACAATGTCATAGCCCACACACTTTAGTAAACACACTCATGTTTGACAGTGTCATAGCTCACACACTTTCGTCTACACACACATATCTCACATTGCCATAGCCCACACACCTTTGCTGTGTTCAGAGGCTGACTTGCTGACAACTGAGTCACCGGATGCTCTGCGATAACGCACGCCGGGTGACGAAATCCCTGAGATGACGCACAAACGTACGCCCGAAAGAAAAGAACATACAACAGTGAATACCAAACAATTAAATGAAAGACAAACGAAGAGAGAGAGGCCATGCATTGCAAAGGTAAGGCACATCTATACTGTCGGCGTGGTCTGCTGGATTCATGGTCGGTGCGCATAAGTGAAAAGTATAGTATCCGACGAAGACTCGTAAAATTATAGGGCATGATCGATTGAGAAGAAGGTAAATAAACTTTCA